GAATCAGGGCTGTGTCAGTGTGTGTCCCTCTTTGGCCCAATGAAGCCGTCGGTGCTTGGTGGAGACACCTGCGCAAGAAAGCCAGCTATAACTGAACGTTTAGGGGTCTGGGGTGGGGAAGGAGGCTGGGCTGGGGGTGGATGCTCTCAGAAGTTCTTCCATTGGGTTATCACACTGCCCCATCCCTGAACTACCACCAGCCTTATTTTTAACCCTGCTGACGAAAGAAAATCTGATGAAATCAAGAAGGGTGACTGATCCCTGCCCCGGTTACTGTTCCCTCCTCCCCCCACCCCCGCCGCCCGCCGCCCCAGTAGGGGCAGAGCCATCCTAGGAGACCCTCCCCAAGAGACATGAAAGTGGTCCGACAAAAAGAAATGATCCCTGCCTTCCCCTGGCAGGATCTAGCTTCAGGAAGGGATCCTGGTGCTTGACGAGAAACACTCAAGGCTCCTGAGGAGGGAGGGGGGGTTGAGCAAGCTGGGAACTGCCCAAGAAGGAGCTGGATTTTCTATCTGTCCAGTCCATGCGTCTCAAATTTTACTGAGCAGTGGAAGCATCTGGAGGGCTTATAAAACAGATTCCTGGGCTCCTTCCGAGAAATTCTGATTCAGTAGGTCTGGGGTGGAGCCCCCAAATTTGCATTTTCAAGAAGCTCCCAGATAATGAGGGGGCTGGGGGGGTTGCATGGACCACCCCGTGAGTGCCGCTGGACTAGAAGAGAGCCCCCGGACAGCAGCAGTTTGGCCTGCCCTTCACTCGGTGAGCTGCCAGATATACCCCATCAAGTCTGCTCGGACCGAGAATCTGGAGAGCCTTGAAGGCCGTGCTGAGTAGTTTGGAGTTTGTTTTCAGCACGACAGGCAGCCTTGCAAAGATTTGCTGCAAGAGGTGAGGCCTTTGGATGTATGGGTTAAGCAAGGTGCATGTAATCGGTTGTTGTGAGAGAGCCTGGAAGCAGGGAGGCTATAGCTGGGAGTGGGGGTCCTTGCAGGAGGAGTGATGCAAAGATGGAGAAGGGGCAGATTCAAGATCTGTGGGGGAGCAGGAGAGACAAGAGTTGGCGGTGGTTGTCTCTGAATATTGAAAGATGAGGAAGGAGTGGGTGGGAGACACTGGGATTCCTGGCTTAAAGGCTGGGGAGCCAGGAGCCATTCCTGAAGTCAGAAGCATTTTAGGGGGACGCTGATAAGGTATTCAGTTGGCCAGACTGATGGATGCGGTTAGAGACATGTGCTTCCTTTGAACCCAGCGGCCCTCATTACCTTGGGCTGCGTGGCTACTTCCTGCTGACCCTGGGGCTGGCTGCCCTGCAGGGTCCACAGTTGATCCTCCAGAATCTTCCAGGGCTCTGTGTGGAGGCTGCCATTCTGGCCTGAAGTGTCCCACAACATGGCTTCCTAGGGCACCAGGAAACAAGCCTCCTCCAGCTCACATTACCAAAAAAGAACATTTTCTTAGTTTGAAGTTTGGCCAGCCCTTTCCCTCCTCCCTCAACCTGGGGTTTCAGGTTTCCAGGGAAATGTCTTTGAAAATTTAGATCTTTGAATCACACATATCCATGTACAGACAAATCTGAGCCCGGGGATATGCATGGACCACGCTTGGTTTTGATGTCACAATTGTCACCTTCTTTCTCCTCCTTCTTTTTCTCCTCCCCCTCCTCCACCACCACCACTACCATCATCACCATCACCACCACCACCACCATCATCATCACTCAGCCCCATCCTGGGCTAAACACTTTCATATGTTGCCTCTCAATGGTTTTCACAGCAGCTCCAGGGTGGGAGAATTCTTATCCTACAGATGTAGAAATTGAGGCACAGAGAGGCAAAACCACTCACCCAAAGTCCTGGAGTCCCAGTGGCGTTGGGACTAGGGGGAGGTGAGTGAGGCGAGTCATACAAGTGCAGAGTCTGATCTGGACTTTATTTAAATCTCGTTCATAGCATGTTCATCAAGGATAACTTTTGCCTTAATTTTGACTTTTAAAAATACTGAATTAAAATATTATTTATCTGGATTAGTGAGTTTTTTTGGTATCCCTCCTAAATGTTGAGCCTGAGGTGACTGCCTCACTCACTCACCCTAGCCCAGCCTTGGCAGAACCAAGATTGGAATCCAGGGCTGCTGAGTTAAGAATCCACACTCTTAACTATTTTTTGTGCTACCTCGTATGTTTACATGTGCACATGTGCATTCATTTATGTATTCTTTCATTCAGTAAAATACTCTTTGTTCAGTAAACATTATTGTGGCAGTGGAGAGGGCAGGGGCTTAGGGATCAGTCAGTTCTGGGTTTGAATTCCACTACTCATTAATGAGTGAAGAGAGAGCCTGTGATTTAGGGCATAGACTCTAGATCCCAGAATGCCTTGGTTTGAAACCTTGCCATCACTTGCTGGCTGTGTGGGTTTGGACGGAATCCTTAAAACTGTCTTGTGCCCTGGATTTCTCCTCTGTAAAGAGGGCTGACAGTGATAGTATCTGTCACATAGAGTTACTGGGGAAGCTAAACGAGTTAATCTCTATAAAACCCTTGGCATGTAGTCAGTGCTTTGTAAGTGTCAACTGTTATTTTGCATCCTTGAGTAAGACACTTGCCTGAGACTCAGTTTCCCCACCGGTGAAGTAGGGACAGTAAACACTACCTCCCAGGCACTTTTTAGGATTGTAAGGGAAAATGTAGGTAAAGGGCCTGGCATGTGGAAGAGCTTAATCTTATCTCTCTTAATAAAGTTCATCTCCTAGTTCCGTGTGAGAGGCACACACACAGATCAACTCCCCACAGAACTTAATCATCTGCACATGTGGACACTGATTTGACCTTTCAGTTTCCCAAAGACTCAAAGCTCTTACCTCTCTCGGGGCCTTTGCACATGCTTTCCCCTCTACCTGGCTCACTGTCCATACCTCACCTCTGGTGGCCAACTGATGTGTCAGTTTCAGGTCTCACCTTAAATGTCGCATCTTCAGCTTTCCCTGATCCCCCACCTCCACTGCTGATCTATATCAAACCTTCCTGTTGTGCATTTTCATTGTGTTCTGTACTCTTCCTTTATGGCCCTTCTCAGAATTGCAATGCTTAGTTAGTTACATTTTATTAAATAGTTTTGGTTGTTTTCTCCCAGCCTGTCTCCCTCACGTGACAGTGCGGGCAGGGACTGGGCTTGTCTACAGGAATTTCCATCCTCAGCTCCTGGCACATGCTCCAGAGCAGTGCAGACTCTGGAAACATCTTGCCTGGCTTCAAAAATCCCAGCTCCTGTGCTTAATGACTCTGTGACCTTGGGCAAGGCACCTACCCTGCCTGTGCCTCAGTGTCCTTTTCTGTAAACTAGGGAAAATAGTAACAGCACCAGATTCCTAAGGCACCATGATGATTACATGAGATAATCTTCATCATTCCTTTAGAATGTACTTCCTTTAGAACAATGCCCATTGGTAAATGGGGCTGTTAATATTTTAGCAGGTGCTGCTACGAGTTAGGATAGATTAAGAGCTGCAGCAAACATCCCCCAAATTTCAGGTGCTTAATGCAATATACATTTAGAGTTTGTTTAATGTTTAACCTTAATGCTTAAATGTTCCTCATCCCAATGTGGAACTGTGGGAGGGGGACTTTGTGCTATAATCATTTGTGGACCCAAGTTGTTTGCACTATGTTTCTTAACCTGAGGTCCACAGGGGATTCTGTGGACAGAATTCAGGGAGTCCGTGCACGTGAATGCTGCCTTAGGTTAGATTCCCTAGAAGCTGAGTCTGAGATGAGGATTCCCTTCCAGATGATTTCTGGAGGGAGTGCTCTCAGGAGAGGTGGGGGAGTGGTGAGAGATGCAGGGTAGGACAGGGAAGGAGCCAAGCAAGGACGTGGTCTTACCTGGAGTCCCGCTTCAGCCTGATCCCACAGGGGCTCGGAAGCCTGACTTGTACCTCAGCGCTGGTTCCTCACGTGGTGCAAGAGGGGGCTGATGGGTGTCATTAGTCATTGCTTGTGGGCTGCCTGGGTTGGAAAGGGAGCGTTGACCTCTGGAGCAAGGTGGCAATTGGTTGCAATTCTCTGGGACAGCAATGTGCCATTAGCAGCCAATTCAGCTGCTAGGAGTAGGTGCATTTGCCCAGCGAAGAGATCTGGGCAGGGCACCAAAAGTGTCTGCAACAGATGGGAAAAATCACATCTTTATGTTCTAGACCTCAGGTCTAGACTGAGGTCACCTGGGATGGCCCGATCCTCTTCTTTCTGTCCTCCATTTCTCTCTAACCTCTCACTGAAATTTAACATTTTCTTCAGTTATGGAAGTAGGCAATAGATCACGGTAGTGTTAGTATCTGTGACTTTGTCACCAGTAGAAATCACATTTATTTCCGTGTTACATTACTGTTGTTGCAGGTATCCTTACAATACCCTTTATGCTAATCTGTACTTTAAAATTATGGTAGTTAATAATAACCTGCTGGATATAAAGAAGGGTACACATTATTATATTACAAATTTATTCCTTTAAATATTTTGGTAACAGTATGTCAATACAATTGTGTTCCTTTGTAATCCTATATAATTTATGCATTTTAAAATGTTATTCTGAGGTGTCTATAGGTGTCACCAGATGCCAATATCTGTGACACAAAAGAGGTTGAGTACCCTGTCCTGGGGCCTTGGCCTCCTCTGCATTTTACCAGCAACAGGGGGAAAAGAGAGGTCATAGAGGATTGCAGGGGAGGTTATGGGCCAGGCCTGAAAGTGGCACAATCACATCTTCCTACAGTGCATTGGCCAGGCCTCTGAGCGCACCTAACTGCAGGGGAGGCTGGGAAATGTAGTCCATCTGTGTGCCAGACAGAAGAGGAAATGGTCTGGGGAGTGCACAGCAATCTGGGCCACAGGGCTCAGTAAAGTGAATGAAGTTCTGTCCAGGGTGTCTCTGTGGGTTGGGGAGGAAGGGCACGGATCTGGTTCTCCAGAGGGATCCTTAGTCTCCGCCATGTTGTCTCCTTAGGACAAGCCACGCCAAGGCCAAAGCTGAGGCAGCGGAACAGGCTGCCCTGGCTGCCAACCAGGAGTCCAACATTGCCCGCACTTTGGCCAGGGAGTTGGCGCCGGACTTCTACCAGCCAGGTAAGGCCAGCAGGGTGAGGACGGGCAGGGTGGGGTAGGGGGAGGTCCCAGGGGTGGACACTTTTTCTTTGCTTGCTGGAAAGCTGAGATGCTCAAGTGGGTTCACAAATGCCTGTAAGTTCTAGAAGCTGTGGGGTGTGGTGCAGGCACGGGATGGGGTGACACAAGGGGACTTATGCTGATTGTGGTGGGGTATTAGAGGCTCCCGCCTACTCCAGCTTGTCTCTTCTCCCTGGGAAATGAGGCTGCAGAGTAAGGAGGACCTCCAGCTCTGATACAGACTTTGCACTTGGATAAAGTAATAGGAGCCCCTCAGGGTGGCAGATTGGTTCTCTCTGAATTGAAGGATTTTAAAGTGAGTGACACGATTAGATTTGTATTTTCTAAACATTCAGGCTGTGGCAGGGAGACCAAAGGGAGACAGGGATGGAAGACCTCTGAACACAGATCTGTGCCTGGGAGAAGTTGCTTCTGGTCACAGTGCGCCCCCTGCTGGTCCCAGGAAGAGTGACACTGGCAGGCTGCCTCCGCCTTGAGTGGTTGGTTGTAGCAACAGCTGTCACGAGGTGCAAGGCACTAAGCTCAACATGCCATGCATTTTTAAAAACCTGATTAATCCTTCTATAAGTATTTATGAAATAGGTATGATTGGGCCCATTCTTCAGGTAAAGCAGTGGAAAGAGACCAGAGTCATCGTTAAGAGCAGAAACTCTGGAGCCAAATTGCTTGGGTGCTAGTCTTGGCTCTACCCTTGGTCAGCCGGGTGACTTTGGGCAAGTGATTTCACCCCTCTGGGCCTCCTTTTCTTCATCTGTACGTTGGAGGTTAAATAATACCTTTGACAGCATGGGGTTATTAAAATGATTAAATGAGTTAGTGTTTGGAAATGGCTTAGAACAGTGCTTAGCACTTGGTGGATGTAGGTCGGTGCTGGCTGAGTACATACATGAGACTCAGTGGGGTTAAGCGGCTTGCCCAGGGTCACCCAGTGCTGGGATTGGGGTTTGAATTCAACTTCTTCGTGTGGTCCCTGGCAGGTCCAGAGTATCAGAAGCGCCGGCTGCTCCAGGAGATCCTGGAGAACTCGGAGAGCCTGCTGGATTCCCCCGACAGGACCCCTGGAGCCGCGGGCCTCCCGGAGCGGCCCCGCGAGAGCCCGGAGCTGCACGAGCGCGAGACTCCTGGGCCCGAGGGTGGCCCCCCGTCGCCGGCCGGGACGCCCCCGCAGCCCAAGCGGCCCCGCCCGGCCACGGAGTCCAAGGACGGCCTGCTGAGCCCGGGCGCCTGGAACGGCGAGCCCGGCGGCGAGGGCAGCCGGCCGGTCACGCCGTCCGAGGCCGCGGGCCGCCGCAGCCC